TACTTAATATTTTTGTTGGCAATAAAATTTAATTAATTATAGTTTAATGATAAAATAAATATGTAAATTATTTTCAGAAGTGTTTAAATAATCTAAATGATTATTTTAAAATTTTTCTAAAAACACATATAAAAGCCTTCTGAATAATTTTCCTAAATATCATATAAAAATCTTATATATGCTCTATAAATTATCTGAAAATGTACCTATAAATCTTCAAAAAATCATCTAAAAATTTCCTATAAATCTTCAAAAAGTCATCTAAAAATTTCCTATAAATCTTCAAAAAATCATCTAAAACTTTCCTATAAATCTTCAAAAAATCATCTAAAAATTTCCTATAAATCTTCAAAAAATCACCTGAAAATTTTCCTGTAAATCTTCAAAAAATCACCTGAAAATTTTCTTATAAATCTTCAAAAAATCACCTGAAAATTTTCCTGTAAATCTTCAAAAAATCACCTGAAAATTTTCCTGTAAATCTTCAAAAAATCACCTGAAATTTTTCTTATAAATCTTCAAAAAATTACCTGAAAATTTCCTATAAATCTTCAAAAAAATCATCTAAAAATTTCCTATAAATTTTCAAAAAATTATCTAAAATTCTTCCAAACTCTTTTAATAATAATTTAAAATTTTAAAATAATACCTAAAGGCTTAAAAAGTTGTTTTAGAAAAAACATTTAAAAAGTTGTTTTAGAAAAAACAACTTTTTAAATGTTTCAATCAAATGTCACATGTATATTATTTTTTGTTGGAAATTTAATGCCATATTTTTTAAAAAAATATAATTGAAATATTATATTTCATATGGCTAAAAACTTTGTTATTGTTTTCAGATTACATTTTTATTTTATAAAACTTTTTAATTATTTAATAACCTTTAGTAAAATGCAATATGTATGATTCATTTCTGATTATTTAATATTATTTTACTTATTAAAATAATAATAACAATAAGAAGAAGAAGAAAATTTTAATTATTTTTTAATTTTTAAAATTTTATTTGATTATTTGTCCCAAAAAATTAATCATAATTATCTGTTTGACTTAAGTTTCTGCCTTAAATTCCTTTAAAAAATTTTAAAAATTTACTTTTTAAATAAAAATTTATAAATATAATTCAACTATACATTATTAATAAAACTGAATTAAAGAATCGAGATCAATTATCCTAAATATAGATAAAATGAATAAGAATTAACTTTAGTGACTGTTGTTTCGGAGGACATTTACACCAATATTCCTGGTGAACAATCTTTGCGGTAAACGAACAAATAATTGAATATTTAAATTAATTAGTTAATGCTACCGGGACTATATATAAGTAGAGTGACTAATTGATTAGCATTAAATACTTGTCTATCTATTGTTTGAATGAATTACTGATCTAAATTATACACTGACTTAATGTATCAACTGTAAAAGTTCATGATCTCATTCACTCTCTGTGACCTTTCTGACCCTATTATTCTTGTTAAATCATCTCTATGTATGTACCTTTATTAAAATAGTCACGTTTCTATATAATGTATATAAAAATAAGAATTTTTATTTTATATGAATTTATTAAACTTATTCCTGTATAAAGATGAGGAGTCTCTTATTAGTTTAGTTTGCTGAAGTTTATAAATATGTATTTTTATATAAAAAATAAAAATATATATCTTTATAAACTGGACTAAATTATGTTAAAAATGGTGAATTTCTTCTGAATTTTATCTAAAGTTTTATAATATTTTTCTTTTTCTTTTTTATTAAACCTCTTAGAAGTTGGTTTCATGATTTTAATATTGAAAAAAAAAAATATTTTCCACTTTAATATAATTTCATATTTATAAAATATATAATAAAATTCTGTATATTTATACAGAATTATATATATATTAATTAAAAATTTATTATTATTATTAAATACATTGTGCATTTAAAGGCACTGATAAAAGATTTGCATCTTCTTCCAGCATCTTTGATCTGCATCTTCAGATTAAAGATGTTGAAGATCCAAACTAACAAATTCTAAATAATTTTTAGAATTTATTTGCTGTTTTGTATAATCATAATCATAATCAAATGTTTATTAACATAAAAAGGCAGTAGCCTGATAAATATATATTAAATATTTTTCAATTAATTTAAATTAAAATTATAAAGTTTTAATGTATTATTTTCAATTATAAATGATTAAATTAACAAGATTTCAAATGCTGAAAATCCAAATTAACAGAATTTTTCATCAAAAAGATACTGAAGATAAACAATTGAATTTATTAATAATGTACTGTACATTTGAATATTTATAAATTCATTTTTAAAGACATATTACAAGAAAATATGATTTAAAATATATATATATATATTTTTTATACATTTTAAAACAAGAAATAAATATATTTTGAAGTCATTTAAAGGAATAAATTTACTTGACTTTTATATTCATTCAATGAGAAAAATATTGATAAATAACTATAAAACTGTAAACAAGATTGAATCAAATTCTTAAAATATAACTTTTTTTTCTTTATTTTTAAATTAGAAAATGTTATTTGTAAGTGTTGACCTGAAGTGACCACATTTGCTACAAATGGTTGATTTGCCACAGATCAATCAAATGACATCTGCACAACTTTCAAGTTCAAGGATATATAGGAGAGTCTGCGACTAAAATTAGACATTACAACAAGTCACAACATTAAATTGGGATAAATATATATATATACATTTTCAAAAGTTTTACATTCCCTGTAATAATATATTCATACATAGAATTTTGATTTTTATCAGTTTTCTATTTTTATTTTTTTTAAAAAAATGTATTTAATAACGAAAATAAAATGAGAAAATTTATTTATAATAAATATAATTATAATATTTTAAATGTATTTACAGAAAACTTATGTTATTTTTAGAAAACTTTTAGAAATTAAATTAGATATTGTTCATTTGTATCTCCAGCATCTTTGGATTAAAGATGCTGGAGATAAACAGATGCATTTATTAAAATTAATATAATTATAATGTTTTTATAAGTTTATTTAAATTAAAATTAAATATTTTTAGACGTTTTAATTTATTACTCTTAATTAGAATTTTTTTAAATTTTAAATAAAACTTTTATCGGAGATGAAGAAGATGAATGGATGCATTTATTAATATTTAGATTTAAAAAAAAAAAA